CAAATATATCAAATATGTCCAGTATATCAAATATATCAAATATGTCTGACATTTAGATCTGCAACCTACTGCGTCACATCCATCAATCCAATCCTGTTACAGTATCATAATGTTCTCTTTTTTGATACTATATCTCACATTAATAAATATAATATGATGACCTATTTTTTGCTATTATTGACAATTGCAATCGAATACGACTTATTTCAACTGTTCTACTCGAAAATAAAATAGAGAATAGCTTTATTTAGGCACTAAAGATGATCAAAAAATGCATGAGTAATTTAATGTTAAAAGTAGTATTTACTGAATCTGGCCTAGCTATAGCTAGTGCAATTTGTTTAAAATTCTCAGATTTTGTTTATTATTTATATATATTTCATATTGATCTCAATCTGAAAAAAATCTTTAATATAAACTAAATCCAACTGAATTTAAGGAATTTTGTAAGGATCTTTTTAAATATAAGAACACTTTAACTTCACATATTTTTAAAAGCTGTTAGGAAAATTTAAAGTCAAAATATAAATCTGTCAATAATTATATAAAGTAACAATTAGATCTATTGAAACATAAATAGGCTGTATGTTATACAAATAACTAATTTACAGCAAATACTAATAGCACTCAATAGGTCAAAAGTTTAAATCACAAAATTCATGATTGTATACAATCAAATTCATCACTTTTATTATTGATAAAGGAAATTCAAGAAGTGCTTAATAAGGAATCAGAATATGCAAGAATAGAAGAATATAAAGAATAAATTCCTACAGTTAGTCTTGTAACAATTCCTAAACTTATTTTAATTCTATTGAAAAAATTGTTTTACAATATCTCATGTTAGTAATGGTAATTGCTATTTATAGACAAATGTAGGAATACTTTTATTATGACTGTTTTAAAATAGATATTACAATCATTGATCTGATAAAATATTAATTTCATTATTAAACACAATTATTTGTTATATTTACATTGAATTGATCAATATATTTTATTTGCTTTTACTTAATACTAAAAACAAGCAACTGTTAATTATAATGAAGGAATGCAAGAGGATAATTATAAAATTGCTAAAATACATATTACTGATATTATATCAACAATTGGACAAGAATAGATTTTTTTTTTTTTTATTATTAAGTGCGGCAGTCTTGCATGATCTTTATTAATATTTATAAAATTACAAGAAAAATAAAATAAAACAGAAAATACAAAAATATCTATAAACTAATCTAGCAGACTAAACTACTTTATCAATACCAACCTTATATTTTATCAAACTAAACTATACATCAGAAGAGAAAAAGAACTAATCTAGACTAAAGTACAGATATCAAACGTCCGGAAGGAAAGGCGTGGTTACTGCCATACCAAAAATTTGACCAATGAGAACCAAAAGCAAATGCTGCAGAAAAGGAGGAGAAGTTATTATGTGGAGGTTGTGTAAGTTGTGGGAGTCCAAAGGAAACCCAAGCAACAGTGAAATCGTCTTTGATATTGTTTGAAGTTTTCCAAGTTTGTAGTGATGTGTATCGTAACAACCATATATCATGAGCTGAGGAGAAAATATCATCAAATAAGGATGATAATAAACCTTGAGTGAGTTGTTTATTGTTGGTGACGGAAGTGATTGAGGATGAAAATGATGAGAAGACGATTCCTTTTATGAGATCCATAAAACATAAGTTATTATTGAAAGAGTTGCAGTACCATATTGAAGATTGATCAATAGCATCAATTAGAGTATCATTGTTAGGTCTATTGAGCATTTTAAGGTGAAACAAGAAAGATTGTTTGTGCTTTTGTATTAAGTCAGTAAGAGAAGTTGTGTTTTAGGAGCAAGACCAAATGTGATCAAAATCTTCAGTTGCAATATTACATCAGAAGTAGGTATTAGTGGTATAAATTTGGGGATAAAGTGCATTCATTATTGTAAAAGTGAGAAGTAATTGTAGTAACAATTTGATTTTAAATTGCTTCCGTTTGCACGCATCAAATGATGTCACCTTAGCATTTTTAGAATCATTAAGAACATAAAGGAGAGTTTGCTAATCGATGTGAAAATTGTGATATTTTTCAAATTGGGGGAGGGACAAAAGTATTCCAGCCTAAGATGCTTGTTGCATATGTTTGATAAATAAACGTGGTGATGTAATGATTGGTATGTTATTATAGTTCATAAAGTATTTGGGATCGAGATGGTTACTGTTAATACTTAAAGGAACACCAGAGAGTTGTTTAGCTAAAGCATCTACCTTATTGTTGAGTTTATCTGATCCATGAGCTTTGACTTTTGTCAGTGATAACACAATATTGTTGGATGTAATGAGTTGTATTAAAATCATCCAAATATGGAAATAAGGAATTTTGAAGGCAGGGTTTAGAGAGGAAGATTTCTCACATATGGTGATGATTTTGTGGTATGAGGCAATTGCAGCTTGTGAATCTGTGCAGATTTCAATGTTAGAGTTCAGTGGAGCGGTGTATGTTGCAGCAAGAATAGCAACTATTTCTGCTAATGTCGAAGAAGGAGAGTGTGAAATAAATGTTGCATTAAAGGAAATCAAGGGCCAATTTAGATCAGTTTGTAACTATGCTATTTCCATCTGGCATTCGGAAGATCCTAATGATGTAAGAGAGCCATCTGTATAAAATTGAAGGGAGTTAGTAAGTTAGTATTTGAGACAATCTAATCTATTAATGGATGTTTGATTGAATGGAAGTATATCTAAGTTAGGTAGGGGTTTGGTTGAGTATTGATAAGGAGAAGTCAATGTTAATAAGGAAACTTCGTGAAGTATAAGGTGAGACAAACTGTATCACCATCCCTCACAGGATTTATGAAAAACTTTAAATATGGAACAAAAGGGCTTGGGTAGTTTGATAGCGCAAAAATGATGACATTGTTGTTGTTTGTAAGGTATAAAAGCTGTATAGTCAAAGAGAACACATCTAGAACAAGGGTTAAAGGCTTTCAGCTTGATTTGGCAAATAATGTTATACATGGATGAAAGTATCTTCGACTTTGACTACTTTACCCAAAATAAATGTCATATACTGGTTAGACCATATTACAACAAATGTTGGATTGGTCGCTGAAACGTTGAAGTTGTATGACCAAGTTGGCGTTTTGATAAGTGATGTATGAGGGGGCACTTGTTGAGCAAGTGTCTGTTCGAAGTACTGGTTAGGAGCTGCGACTCTAATTGTTTGAACCATTTGACGCTATGGAACACTGAATCATAAACCATATTTAGGTCAAAGGCTGTCAATAGGTAGGTTCCATTCATAGTGGTGAGTTGGTCAACGTATAAGATTGAGAGTGATCGCAATTTCATAATATTTTGCCAATAAACCTTTGGAGGGAGGGAATGTATTATTGGAAGTGACCCACTATCTATAGTTTTTAGGTTGTAATCTTTGTTTATACATTGTTGGAATTTAAGTCCAATTTGCTTAGCAGCTGACAGTAGTCCTGACCACCAGTCTTTAAAAAGCTTGATGTCTATATAAGGCCAGTCAGTTAGCGGGGATAATGGTAGCCATTCTAAAATTTGCAGTTATAGAATTCGTAGCTGTGAAGTTGAACCTAGGAGTGAAATATCATTAATCATCTTTAATAAGTCTGATGATTTGGTTTGAATCTGTTTGTTATACAAATGTGCTAAATTGTAACCAAAGGTTGAGTGAAGAACAGAAGAAGATATAAATCTAAAAAGTCCTAGTTTCTTCTTAAAGAAATTTCTGAAGGAGGCCATCAGAGTGTCACAAGCTGACCGAGGAACAAACGTCAGTTTGTTTTGTATAAGAGACGAAGGATGATGACTGTGTTGAAGATTACAACCATTTGTTTAGCAATCAGCCTTTTTTTGTTAAGCATGTTTTTTGTCTTAGTGAACTTATCATGAATCTGTTTAGTAACGAATTGTCTGTTATTAAACAGAGATACCCAGACTTCTAAGTATCTAGTAGATTCCTTGTGGTGTAGTGGTGGGAGCTAAATATTTTTATCATTGAAGTTAAAGTTAACTGAAGAAGAATCTTTATCATTAATCATAAGGACAGATTTGTCCCAGTTGACCTGAATGCTATTAAGTGTATAGAAGGAATCTGCTATATTCATAATATTTAGGAGATCGGATCTGAAATTTGCAAGCCAGAGTGTGTCGTCCATATATGCCAATGTTGGAATATGATTTGAAAAGCTTTGTACGTTGCATTTTGTAACGTCAGTATTCCAGTAGACATGTTGCGTATAACCGTGTGAAGAGTCTTGTATAAAACAAAGAAGCGGGTCATAATATATACACCACAAGATAGGGAATATAATTTCACCTTGATCTATTCCTGAGAGGACTAAATAAGTATCAGTGTTACTGTGTGCAATAAAAACTTGATTAAAACGAGGGAGAAAGATCGAAATCAAAAATTTTATAAATGCTTCTGGTATTTAGAGAAGTCTAAGGGCTCTGATCAACATAGTGATATTAACACGATCGTATGCTTTTGACATATCTTGGAATAAAATCCAGAGGTTATTGTGATGAAACGAGGTGTCGTAATTGATATTATCAAAATGTGGATGGATTTAAAAGTGCTCCTGCAAGGTAGACCAGCAAAGTTGTTTCCTTTGAGGATATTGTTGGTAGACAGAACTTTTAATAACTGATCATTGATTAATTTTGTGAGAGCTTTGTGTGGGCATTCGAGTAGCGTAATAGGCTGTGTGTTAGTTAAATTATATTCCCAAGGTATTGGCTTGGGTATTGGATATACAAAAGCTAGATTCCATCTACTAGGTGCTAGATTTAGTGACAAGCATTTGCAAATTATAATCCAGAAACATTTAGCTGCAAAGGGCCAAGGTGTTTTAACATCTCATTGGAAATCTTAGATAGTCCAGGAGCTTTTTCATCAGGGAGTATCATAATAATTGTGTGCTATTCTTCCTCTGAGGGGGTTGCATAATAGAGTGGTATATTGTAGAATCGATTGATTCGTCTGGTGTATAAACTTGTTCCCAAACCTCAGAGAGAGATGGGTTAGAATATTGTGAGCTAACCACTCTTTGAAAGTGTCTAGCCATTTCATTTTGAACATCCTTAGGATCTGTAAGGAGTTCTTGGTCAGGACTGTTGTTATTTATGCATCTGTCTAATATAATAGTAGTTTGAGAACACTCTAATAACAAGTTAAACATATCTTTTTGGTTGTCTTCAAAATTAGCACAACATCTTTCAATAGCTTCATTGATGGCTTTAGTTTTTAAATTTAGCTTCATTTAGCTTTACTGTAGTGGATATGACTCTTCGGAGATTGATTAGTAAGGGAAGAATCGCTTTAATTTCTTGTAACGATGGTTAGCTAGTATCTGGAATTATTATGGAATATTCAGTCGAGAAAGCTTGTATTTTTTACACCTGGTTGTCCATTTAGGGTCTATAATGTTGTTCGAGAGGCACTTAGTACTTGATTTACAAAGTTTTTGTACTATCTTGAAACGTTTATAAAGCGATTTAAGAATACGAGGTCTAAGATCTCGTTGATGGTGTGATGTATATTTGTTAGGAATTGTTTTGATGGCAGCGTCTATAATTGATTTCTGTAAAAGGTCCCAGTAGTGGTTTAATTGGTGTATAATTTGTATGCAGTTCAGCAACATATTATAAAGTCTGGAGTTTTTGTAACATTGATCTATTGAGGATCCAAAAGCGGACCAGTCATTCTCGAACATCTCGTCATATCAAAAAACTAGCTTTTTTATCGCAGCATATTGAGTGAATGATGGATTAATGGATGTTAATGAAACGGTAGCGTAAATGATAGCATGATCTGACAAATCGTTGTCAACCTTTACTACTGTTTGGTCAATGAGGTCGGGATAGTGAAGAGTGCATAAAAATGTGATCTATCATTGAACGGCTAGTGCTAGTTTCAAATGTAATGATGTCATCATTCTGTTTTTGATTTTTGACAAAGTCTAAGTTGTTGATCATGTGGAGATTATTTAGCAAGGTGAAGAAAGCGTTTGAGTTCGAGGGGTTGGAGGCTCGTGATGGATCTGCGTTAAAGTCTCCTAGGATAATTGTAAGGAATTCCTTTTGATGTGCCTCGTTTATAAGATCTAGAGCTTTTTTGTATGTTTTGTTCCGTAAGATTCTATCTGAACTGGAAATATAAACGTTAATGATATGGATTTTTTGTTTGTTTTTGAATTGAAAATCAATCGAGAAAATGCAATGGAAGAAGGAGGAATGATGAAAAATATGATCTGCTAAGTGTTTTTTAATGAGAAAGCCCACTCTGAACCCATACTTTGTGCGGAGGGATCAGTGTGAAAGAAGGGAACAAAGTTATTTGAATAAATGGGTTTTAAGGAGTATATGTGAGATGAATTATTAAAATTTGTTTTTTGCAAGGCGACAATGTCTAAATAGTAAAGAGAGTATAAATTAAAGAGGATTTGTTGTTTGTGTGGTAGAGTAAAAGAACGAGTATTATGAGTGGCGATATTTATGGTAGAGGGTACCGTTTTTGTATTTGGTAGTTGTATTATCATAATTATTTAAAAAAGAGTTCTGGGGCAGGAACCTCTGTGCCATCTTCTAAGGTGATGACTGCACTGGGTATGTTGAGTTGAGGAATCAGAATAATATGTGATGGGTAGGTATCATCAAAAACCATATGTTGGATATGGGACACTGCTTTGAGGGTGATATTGAGTTTTGCTATTGTGTCTTTATTGTGTTTGCATAATT